TAGGACCAGGAGGAGACCCTGGGGTGGACCCAGAACGAGCTGAAGGGATCACGCATCTCATCTGGCCTGGGACCAGCCTGGAATCCCCGAGGAGGAGCTGGAAGATGTTGCTGAGGAGAGAGACGTCTCGGATACTGCTACGCTCACATAGAAAATGAATGGAAAAAGCAAGCCAGCAAGCTAACTGCTCTAAGTTAACGCTAACGGTTAAGGAGTTGCTGTTCTGAAACACTGGGAGGCCTTGTTTGGTCCAGGAGACCCCACTGTGCTCCTAGTAGCTCCCAGTCTTGATCAGACCTGATCCCAGGGTGGGTTAGGGTTCGACTGACTGTGTTTCTGCTGAATGGGAAGATCTGTCGGAAAACTCACATTTGGCCTTGTACCAATTCTTCTTTTTTATTGATTGATTTTTTTGGTGCCTTTAGCGAACTGACCAACCTGTAGGGACAGATACTTAACTTCTGTCTCACCCCAACCAGCCCCGGGGCAGCTGGCTCAGCAGCAGCAGCCTTTAATGTTCACACCAAGTGTCTGAATGCAAAGAAACCATCCAAACATCATCCACCCTGAGATGAGGAGCCACCAAGTTACTCACTCCTTTAATCTGCTGGAAGAAAAAGAGAGAAACCTGAAGCAGCTGAGCAGGCGCTCGGTCCTCACGCTGCTCACTTCTGCATTTTAGTGACAGTTTCTGTTTGTTTGCATCCAGAGCATGAGAAGAGTCCAGAGGAACACTGCAATTAATCTCTCTGCTAATTTAAGCTCTGACATGCATTAACAGAAACAGGACCTAAACAGACGTCGTAATCACAACATTCAGTGTTACACACACACACACACACACACACACACACACACACACACACACACACACTCTGTGGATCCATCCTGGACCTTGGCTGCTGCGACTCTGGAGAATTTAATTACTTCCTCCTCGTCTCCCCATTGGCCAGGAGGTCTGGGATATGCTAATTAAGCCTTGACCGATAAAACATTTCCTTGGCCTCTGTGTCTCATTACTGCAGACTTCTGTGATTGCAGCCCAAGTCCGGCGCCTACTGTCTGACCAATAAGGAAGCACCTGAAGCCACACACTGTGACTAAATGCTTATTAGTCCCCGGATACGACCCAACAGAACCGTGGCTTTACGCCAGAAAAACTAAGAAAACTTTGCGCCACAATCAGTGTTCCTTATCTTCTTTTCTAATTGATAATTAGTCTTACATTAATTTGGGGCCAACATCTATCTCTTATCACAAAGGTACCATTTATCAGCTGCTTAAATGATGGACTAAATTGGGTTGGCAATGTTAATGACTCACCTTGCAGGCTGTGGGGGGACATGAGGGAAATAATTCCTCCTGACTCATATTTAATTAACCTCAGCAGATGTGCTGGGCCTGCATTGTGACTTAAAGAGAAGAAAACGTTGAACATTGAAAGTACGACATCTGTGGCCAGCGGAGTCTTAAAATGAATATTTTAATGCAAAAAAGATGTTTATATACATAAATATAAAACGCTGGAAAACAATAATGAGGCTGTTACAACATTATAAAAAGGACATTTCAGGTTTTAGATGCAAGCAGTGTAATAAAAGCTGTTATATTCTAGGACAGGTTATTGAGCTGGTTCCTTCATCCACTGGGTTCTGCAGAGGAGGCCCAGGCGTACCAGAACCTTCACACAGAACATTCTAGGAGTACCTTCGACTTGTGCAACTCGTACTGCTAAACCCAAAGAGCCACGCAGGCTGTTTGACACGCGTGGTGAGCTACGCAAAGCGCCACCGCATCTGTTTTTGTACATTTTATTCCCAGTTTCCAAAAAGTACGCTGAAATTTGCTTGTACAGGTAATTATAATGTAAACTGCATATAGACACGACAACATGAGCTGAAACTGGGAACAAAGTGATGAAAAACGCTGCAGCAGGCCTCATTCGTACAGGAGCACCGACGGTCCAACAGGCTGTCGACCCAACATCATTAAAAACACACATAAAAATAAATGCTTGTGAGGTTACATACGTGAGCTGTGTTCTAGCATCAGAGGAGTAAAGGAAGTACACCGACCCACAGCTCAGAAAGCTCCACCACACACTGACCCAAGACCCAACACCGGCTTTGATTCCTGCTCATTCATACGTTTTCAGAACCACACCAGAATCATCCACGGGATCCCAGAGGATCACGCTGGAGCACACTGGAGCACATGGCTACGTACGATGGTCCACGGTCATGACAATGACCTGCTGGTGACGAACACACATCGTCTTTCTTTTAGTTTGAGTGTACCGGCTACAGGTGAGCTGTACAGGTGTAGCTGTGAGGTTACACAGCTCCACTCTGCTGACAGGCTGCATGTATGCTTAGATGACTCCAGACTAACACGGACCAGCTGACTACACCGTCTGGCCTTTGACTTTTGTAGCATGTAAAGTGATTGTGGGTAAATTAGGAGGGTTGATCAAAACGCTCAAAGACCACCGAGCGCATCGCTGCCATGAGTCAGACGGCCACCACCCGACCAACGGCCCAGCCTGTGCTAATCCTAATGCTGATCGGCGCCTCGGTGCCGTTTCTCCACGGACCTCATGCTGGAGCACTCTGTGGGGACGAGTCGACCTTCGGATCCTTTCCTTTTGGATCACCACTGGTCTGCAGACACTCGCCACAGCAGGAACAGCAGCTTCACAGTGGAAGAGCCCAAAGTTTCCAAAACTGGAACCAGGAGGCCGGACAGGGAGGCGGCCGCATTCCAATCAGGTGCAGCTTCTGATTGTTTCAGTCTCGTAGCTTGTTGATCAACCCTCCCGTAGCATCACGCTGGACTACGGCGCTGTTTAACTCCAGCTGCTGTAATACCAGCAGCGAACAACGGAGTGAAGGTCTACAGGGACGTGGATCATGCTGGTCGGCCTCCTAACAACGAGCTGTACTATTTAATAATATATTAACACAGCTTCATGTCCACAGTGGAGCTGAAAAGTGATGATAGCAATAAAATACAAAATAAAAAACAGCCAATATTTGTGAATAATTCCCAAAATTCACTACATTCAGCCAAGTGAAGCCGACCTCAGGAACCTCCTCCTACTGCAGAACAGACGCTGAACCAATCTGATGAACTTCTGCTCCGTTCTCCTCTGAAAATCCCACAAAGGCTCTGGGGCTCCTGCATTTATGTTCTTACAATTTTCCTCACCTCTTTCCATAAGCAATAGATTTTATTATTCTATTACAACGTTCCTTCCTTCCTTCCTTCCTTCCTTCCTTCTTTCTTTCTTTCTTGTCTTTTCATATCTGGCTTGTTTTTGTCTTCTTTGCTCTCGACCATCACTCTCTTCTATTCATTTCTTCCATTTGCATAAATTCTTATAAATCATCAGTCCTCAATTTCTTCAGTCCTACCAACCTTCCTTCCTTCCCTCCTTC